CGTCTAACCATCGGACCACTGAGCCGGTATCTAACGGTGTTAATGTCTAACTTGATCAATTCACGGAGTTGCGCAACCTCATACACAGTCTTCGGTAGTTACTGTCTACACCCGAACAGGTTGAACTTCACTGGTCACGTCTTCCCACTAGAACTCGGAGAAGTCCCATACCAGGACGAAACGGCCGTCCAGTGCTTCCAGGTTTCCAATGGTGGTCTAACATTGATTGATTCATGGTTTCAGAAAATGTGTAACTTAACAATCTTCACAACCCAGTAATACTGAGATATTTTAGCAGACTAAATCAACTACATAAGCATGATTGTACAGTTTAAGTAAGTAACATTGTCATAAAGTAAATTTTCTCCGCTAAAACTGCCTTCGTTCATTTTGTTTTGAAGTCATATCGAAGAACAATCAAATCGATCTACTCTTCATAACATTCTTATGAAATATTGAATATTGAAATCAGTTTTTCCTTTCGAAAATACAAACATTTCATTGACATCTGGTTCACTTTTTGTTTAGTATTATTTTCTTTTAATCCTTAATTTAAAAAAAAAAGAGGCTACACACACACACACAAACAAATCGGGACCATTTTTTAACAGAAAGAACGTAGAACACGAAAAAAAAAAAACTTTTTCTCATAAATCTTTGTCAAAACCAAAAAAAAATAAAATAAAATAAAATAGAAATCAGTAGTAACTTTCCTGCTGTGAGAAATGCTGGTTATTAATTAATTATTTAATTAATTAATTGAGAATTTCATTTGTCTTACTGATCAATAGGTGTCTCTTTATAAAAATCTAACAAACTACATTTATTGCATTAGTAATTGTGTTATTTTTGTGTTTTCTGATTTTAGTTTTGTGCATAATCATTCATGATCATCATCATCATCATTTCACCAGTGAGCATATTTTTTTTCTATTTCTTACTTTTTATTGATCATTGAAACAATTTGACAAATTGGTTGATTTTATTTATGTTATAATGAAATTGTGATTTGATGCAGCGATTATTAAAATCACACTCATATGATTTTGATCTGTTTCTTGATCCTATGTCAGTTATGATTTTCCTGATTGGTTGATAAATTGGGTCAATGTTGATGTGTGTTGTTGATTGCTGATTGAATTGAGTGGAAAGCTTCTAAAACTTCTCTAATGTTCTTTGTCCTTCCCCTACTCAGTATGCCCATAATTGTCCGAGTGTATTGATGTTAGCGAAGAATTATAGCGGTGTTGGACTGCTAATTGATATTCACGCAAACGAAGCTGAAGAGGATGTCCGCTTTGTCCTATGTAGTGTTTTTCACAGTCTGAGCAATTTATTTTGTAGATGATGTTTGGTTTTTCTTCATTTGTCATTTTGTCCTTTGGTCTACATAGGATTGATTGAAGGACATAGTGGACGGCCTCTTCAGCTTCGTCTGCGTGAACATCAATAAGCAGTTAAACGCCACGACAACGCTTCACTTATATCAATACACACCGACAATTATGAACATACATTCGATTGGAACAATGTGGAAATACTGAGTAGGGAAGGACAAAGAACACCAGATAATTTTTAGAAGCTTACCACTCAGGTCAATAAGCAATCAACAACACACATCGACATTGACCCAATTTATCAACCAATCAGGAAAATCATGCCGAAACTTCTAACTTAAAATCATAAGTGACATAGGATCAACAAACAGATTAAAAGGGGGATACCATCAAAACAAAGGTGCAAACAACGACAGGTTTAAGGTCAACAGCAACCAATCAAGATCGAGGTTAGCAGAACAAGCTACAGGTCAAACGTGGAGAAATTTGAATGCTTCACTTCTGCTATCTGAAGTTTTTGCTGATGATGTTGTTCAGAAGAACAGCAATGACAGTTCTACAACCAATACATCCAGTTCAGGGAACCAAACACCACCACAGTTATTAAAATCAATTGACTTGAACCGAATATTCTCATTAATGGATTGTGAAGAATGTTGAGTTATTCTGGAAACATTGGACGACCGTTTTTTCCTGAAATGGGACTCATCAGCAGTGCACCTCTACGTAAAGCCTTCGGTCTTGCGCGCGATAGCTTACCGGCTGGACAGGTGAGCCGATTGTGCAAGGTCGTGACCAGGACGAAACGGCCATTCACTGCTTTCAGTTTTCTAATGGTGGTCTGATATTATTTGGTTCATGATTTCAAAGTAAATGAAGCAAGTAGTCAATAAAATCTTCGAAGTTATAATGTCTGTATCATTGATAACTGATATGGTCACTGATTTGTAGCAAATGTTATGTTTATCTAGTGCTGATTGAATTCGATCGATTACTTTACAATGAGGCCACTAATCTAAACGACTATATATTCCACACATTGTTAAGTGATTGAAGGTAGTTAGTAGAAAGTATTGATACTCTTATGTTTACTTCTAGTTGACAATCGCTAATATGACTTACTTACAATGTTGAGGTTTTTGAATGAGAGTCACTTAGCTTCATAGTGTGGGATTTTATCATTGAGCTATCAACGTTACAAGTGACCTAATGTAGAATTCAGTATATAAAGTTTACGATTCCCTGTAGATGGTGGGACTTTTGTTGCTGAGGACAAGAAGACACTTGTCTTCTATTTGACTATGATCAATTTTATCTCTGAAGTTTCATAATTTGTCAACTGACTCAGTTAATCTGTCATGCGTATGATGAGGTATTGTTCGGTTAGGAAACCATGAGAACTATCGTAATTATATTTACTGATTAATAAGTGATCATCCGTTCAGCATTAGTTTTTTATAAAAGCAGCTTAGTTTAATGTTTAAAAAGGCTGAAAACACTAGGAAATGTTAATTCTGAACAGCATTTAAGAAAGAGGGTGAGAGAAACAGAGAAAGCAAGAAAACTAACAAATCCTTCAGCTTTCAGGTTATAAGTTTGAAATATATTTCATTAACTTTACTGTGAATAGTCGAGTTCTGATCGCTTTATTTCAAACAAATTATTTGATATAAAGCTTAATGTACAAATTCATACTTAATCAACCTGTCTACATAAACGAAATAAATAAAAGACAGTCTTCATGGTTGGACCATCGCTCCGAGACCAATAATTCAGAGTCGTGTCACAGGTAAGGTCATGAATCCACTTTGATGAGGAGCTACATACAAGAATAAGACGACTATCTAATACTTCTTGGTTTTTACTAGTTGTCTGATTATTAATCCTGTCTAAGGATCGTAGTGTGTTCCAAAATGTTGAGTCCTCAAGGCTTGTCCTGGCTTTCGAACGAACTAACCAACCTTCTTCTTTTCACTCGCTTATAACCTTGGTGGTTTCTATTCAAGTGTGTTTGTGTATGCTTACTTCGCTTATAACATGTCTTTCCTATTATCGCCAATTCATAAGTACGAAGTCACGACTCAATGAACTGGCTTACTCGTCTTCCCTTCTTCCCTTCCCTTCACTTTTTCAACGCTTTGTATTTTCATGTCTGTCTGAGTGAAGAACTGAATGAAATTAACTCATCTAAATCAATCCGTTTTTAGCTTACTATGAAGCTGCCGCACAAACTGAGTTCGCATACGTATGATTTATTTCATAGTGTATTCGTCTAGATTGGAGTAAAATTCTGGGACTGAAAAAAATATAAACTGTAAAACGTATTTTACTGAAGTCAAAAAATTTAAACAAATGAATTATAGTTTTAAAATTTTCACGTTTACTCCTTTCAACTTACTATGAAACGGAAGAGAACAGACAGAAAAGGAAAAAAATTCAAATAAAAAGTCTTCTGTTTTACATTGAAATTATGAATCAATTATTGTTAGATTACCATCAAAAATCTGGAAGCACTGGACGTCTGGTTCATCCTGGTAAGAGATTCTTCAGCAGTAAATATCCATAAACCTCACTCGCGGTAGTCAAGGATAGGACCTTCAGTCTCGCACGAGAACGCCTACACTTCAAACCACTGAGTTGGCATCTAACAGTGTTAGTGTCCAACTTTAATCGATGATATTGTGTAGCGTCACCTATTTTCTCCGGTAGTTACTACCTACAGCTAACAACAGGACTGAACACTAAGGCTACTGACTAGAACGCCAAGAACTTCCTCACGAAGCTAATCACTTGTAAGTACACCGTATTCACTATGGAGTTATTGAGATTACTGAAGGCTCAGTGGTCTAAGGTACGCGAGACTTAAGGTTCTGAGCTCGATTCCCGCTATTACGGGTCATCAAAGAGTCTCATACTAGGGTGAATCGGCCGTCCAGTGATTCTGGTTGTCTAATGGTAGGCCGACAACAATCTCCATAACTCGATAATGAATATGTCTTCTGTATTAATTCACTTTACTAAGTACAAAAAAAAATACACGCACACACACACACACAAAGTAATATTCTATGAAATAAGAATTGATATCAATATAAATAATTACAATATATCAAATAAGTGCTATCAATAAATAAATAAAAACAAATGAAAAATAATAAAAATTAAACAATCAAATCAAAAATATGAATGATATATATTTGTGTGTGTGTGTATGGCTACACTCAAGTTTTTCCATTGGTTCGATTTGTGATCTCATCATTTATTGAAATCAATGTTTTTCTCTTCTTCTCCTTCTTTCTTCTTATTTTTCGTTGAGTTTTTAAAATTTTGTTTTGTAAATATTTATGCAAACTAGATAGATAGATAGATTGATTGATAAATATGCAATACATGAATTGGTCTAGTTACAACATTCTGTTCAAAGTTCAATTTTTCTATTGTATTCTCTTGTTTAAATGACAAATATTTTTTTCAAGGAAAAGTATTTTGAAAAATTTTATGATGATATATATGTACATACAGAATATTAATAATGAGAAATGACTTTGTTTTTTGGCTTTTTCGTTCAAATCTAATGAAACTGATTACGCATTTTGATTAAGTCACATTTTATCGATTATAAATACAAATAATTCTATACACACATATATTTACATATTATACATGCCGATCATGTCCTTAAGACATGTATCGCCAAGAGCTAAACATCATCACCAACAACAACAACCAAATAGTATTTCATCCGAAAGAGACTACAATTATCATATTAAACATTCTTATGACAAACAGAACACTACTAATTATTATCTAATTGATAAACCGTATAAAAATTACAAATCCAAGTATAATAATGTGTTCCTGTCACAAAGTAAATTATACGATACATCAAATGTTTTAATTGATCGGAAAAATCCTGTCATTTTAAAACAGTATCCATCTAAAATTGATAAACTTTTATCTCATAATACTACTACTAATAATAATAGTAACAGTAGTCATGTTTCACTGGATAATTATTCCACTTATTCCATTCCTTCGAAATTACGTTCAATGTACAATTATGGTGCGAATATTTCAACGGTCAGTACGAATAGTAATCATTTAACTAAAGAATTATTTGATAATTCTAATATAAAAAATCGACATTCTAAATCAATTCATTGTCAATCACCTATAATCCATGCTCGGAATAGTATACATAATATTACCAATAATAGTAATAATAATAATCAAACTCGTTTATTAAATGATGGATTTAATTTATTTAAACAAACTCAAAATGCCAAAAAATACTCGAAAAATTTTCGTCAATGTTCAATCAACAATTCATATGATGATGTAATTAATTTAAATAAATTAACTGATTCCAATCAGTATTTATCATCGGTAAGTTAATTTGTTTGTTTGTCTGTGTTTGTGTTTCAATGATTAAATTGAAATATGAGAGAGAAAAACATTTTGTTTAAACGTATTGTGTTGATCTATCTGCATGATATCTGATGACTAAGTTTGGTATGAGTTAGTTTTAATTTTTTGGTTAGCGTGTTTTTTTGAAAGCGTATTGGTTCTCTACCGATTAGGGTAGCTAGCTAACTCTATACCCAAGACTCCTCTCTTATCCCACCCGAACTAGGGACCGGCAGTAACCACAGAAGTGCTTCAGGCGGAGTTAGTTATTTTTAGTAAGCCAGTTCAAAAAGGGCGTTTATATCATTAGGCATGAATTTAGGAATCCCATTCTGTAGAGGAAAATCTATCTGCAAACACTAATCAGAAGAAATTATTTTAACAACTTAAAACTATACTTTGTTAGTTGAATGATCTTCATTTAGAGGAGCTCTGACGTCTTATAGTGAAGGCAGAGATTCTTTGAAAATCATGAGGCCTCTTCTGACAACCAGGGTAACAATTAACGTGGAATGTTCACACGATATGGGAGATCGAGAAGATCAGTCATAGTCATAAGTTATGAAGGATGCAAATGTAATAGACATCAGCTTTGTCGTATCATTTATCATAAAAAACACTTAGTTCAGCTAGTATCACTTAAACATTTTAAAAAAATCTTACACAAAATAAAACCTGGTAACTTGAGATTCGTTGGTAATCATGAAATTATTACTGATCCATTGTTTTAATGAACCACATTTTTTCATTATCATTCTGTTCCCCAATTTGGTGAGATTATCATATGTTAGTATGCAGCCTATTGATTGATAGGAAACACGAACAACGTGGTAACTGAACCTTGTAGGTTTGATATCTGGTAAGATATTCATTAGGGATGGCGATGTTATTCTATTGAGGGTTTTTATTATGTACTTACTTATTCACTCATTCTTGTTACCGCACCAACCGCCAACCAATCTTCTTGATGGCCGTAGTACAACAGCATCTATTCTGAAGTAATTCATTTCTGTCCACTTATTCCAAGTACCTTCGAGTTTTTCATTTCCAAAGTAATTTGAATAGTCCCAATGGTCTCCCACATTGTGTGAATATTCCAGATATACCTATCCTCTGGTTGTTAGAAGAGGCATCAGCCTTGTGACCATTGAAGAATCTTGGATTTCACCATGTGACGTTGTAACTCGTCGAAACAACGATCCTTTAACTTGTAATACAGAATGTGATTTCTTCTGATTAGTGTTTTTATCAAGGTTGTATTCTACAGAATGGGATTGTTAACTTCATGCTCATTCCTTCTATTTTATCCAAGTTTAGGACCAGTATCAATCCTAGGGAGCTTCACGGCCATGTTCATAGCTACAATTAGCATATACTAATGTCAACTGTGACTAAACGACTAATATTTGCTAAAAAACGAATCATTAACTCAAGTATGAAAGGTTTTGTACAATGTCACTCATATGCCTAATTCTGATCTTTCATACTGTAGTGAAGGAGAACACAAGTGGAGCAACCGAATTGTATTCAACGAAAATTACAGAGTTACTCAGTGGAATCGGAAAAGCATATCGTAAATCGTTGATTTGCATAATATCAGTCCATCATATCGAACTGGACTGTTCCTGTTGCAAAACATCAATCCATTGTCTGACATTTCACTGTTCATGCATTTCATACAAATTCCATTGTTTTCTAACTCTTCCTTTCTTGATCTTTCCCCATCTTCTGCTGCCAGACATTACGTTGACGCTCACGTCATATACTACTTATAAGTAGCTCACACCACACTCGTCACCCCTTTTAATAACCTGTTGTCGTAGTCTTTCTGATTGCCGTATCGCTGTCTTCGTTGGTGACTCACAAGCTTGATAGTCTTGAAACCGCCTCTGTTGTTGACTGGCATTCACGCGTTTTTGTTTGTCTTCTTTCCGTATTGTGTAAACAGAGCCACGTCTCTCAATAACAATGTACAGTCCTTCCCATTTCGGGAGCAGCTTCCCTGATTCTTGTTCCCATGCTACGGTGCCTTTCCGTTCTCTACATTTTACCAGGTCCCCGACTTTAAACGGCTTCCACTGCCTATTCTGCTGTTCTGTCGTTGTGTGCGACATCTGTTTCTTCTTTATATTGCTGACTGCCTCCCTCCTCTCCTTCTTTAACCTTGTTGCCGTCCACTTATGTTGTTGCGGCCATGTCTTATTGTGCATTGGAAGTCGCGGATGTCTCCCGTACATAAGCAGGAGAGGTGATTTCTGGGATGTTCCTTGTATTTAGGCACGATGCGCCAGCAAGATTAGTAGTAATTCCTTCTCTTAATTCCCTCCTTTAGAGGCTAACCATTCCTTTAACGTCTGGCTGTTTCTTTCTGTAAGCCCGTTAGTCTGTGGATGATATGGTGTTACTATCATACTTGTAGATCATAACCTTCTTCACTTGATGAGAACGTATATCTACACTTCTGAAGTCGCTCAAATAAGAACGCAGAGATGCATTACACAGATTCCGTATTTTCAGTGATTATCTAACTTAAAAATTACTGCTAAAACTTACTTAAGCTGAATGTAAACAACTGATTGCATAATTTTTGTTAATTGACTAGCAAAATTATTTCACACAAAATTCTGCAGTGCACTCAGAATGACTCATCGTATCTTCTCACATCTCACTATGTATAATAAAAAGTCTCTTGAATCTCAAGGTCAGTCCAATCTATCTAGAAACACCGTTTACTTTCTCTGATTGTATTAATCTTGGAAATAGAAAATATTTTAGATGATTCAAGTTACGTTTAAATCAGTATTTGCATGATTCGACTGCTATTAAAGTCTTGAAGTCATAAAAATGTTTCTGTAAACTTTTCAATATTCAACAAATGTATTTATTTAGCGTTTTTTGTAAATTTTTTGAATTATTTACTTGATAAGTGCTAAATATTAGAGAGTAATTTTCAGAAGCTCTCCAATCAGATATCTTAAGGTATTCACAACTATCTTCGATGAACATACGCATTGTAGCACAGTCCAACGGATGGGAAACATAAATGCACACTGATGTTTAGAGTTTATAATGACATTCGCAAGTGAAATCACACTTCAATGCTTAGTATTTGTCTATTATGTAGTCAGAAAAAATGAATGTAGTCATTCCGAATGACAAATCTATTGAACATTCAAAATGTTACCTACAACTACTGCACCAGAAATCACTTAAATTTCCATTCTATTCAATAATCAATGTTTTGAAATCCCAGATAAACAAAATAGGTTACAGTACGATCTGAAAATATCAATCCTACTAATATTCTTTTCATTAAAATTGGATTTTCTTTCCATTTTGTAAACTAAGCATCAAATTTTATACTTCACTATAACTCGACTTCTATCAATTCTGATACTACTACTGTAAAGAACGAAGACGTTAGCACCCAAAACAATAGTAGTGTACGTGGGAGAGAGCCGGTTTCTTAACAGTACATCTTATAGTTAGACTTACATATGCAATATCTTCTGACACATGTTTTTCTGACATTCAAAACACTCTCATCTCGTCACACACATTCAGATTTGAAATTCTTCTCTCCAGTGATAACTTGTGGGTGACACTTTACTGCATACTACTTATAAGGCATATTGCGAGTAGTATTCACCTCAAAATTACTACTAACTTGTATAACAATTTAACTGGTTTTTACATATACACTGTCAGTTATTGGTTGATGAATTATGATTTAACTGAATTATAGTTTTTTAACTTAGATTTTTTGATGTCAACGAATCTTCGGAAGGTTAGAAATACACATATAAATATAGCCGAATATTTGTACGTAATTTTTGGTTGTGAGGTAGACTTTGTCTCCCACTCTTGCCTTCTCACTTAAGTAGCCAGTCTGGGGGTGTGGGTGATTAGCATGTATCACGTTCAGATGTTGGACACAATAGTAGCAGACAAATCATTATTTCACAGTAAATTATTTGTTCAGTATTCAATAATGAAACGAGATTTGAAAATTAAGTTACACAATTAATTTGAACGCTTATTTCCGAAAAAACATATCGAAAACATGTGTTCATCGACAATATCAAGGTATGCATTATGATTTCATGAATATCAAAACAAACTAATTACATTCAATTGAGAATATCAATTTTAGAATAATATTAATGCAAACAAATATCTCAAATAATCGGTTTTTTTTTCAATCTTTAATCAAGTTTGAACGAGTTCTACATTTGTTGTAACAAAAGAATGTTACATAATTATAGTCATGTGCAACAGCATACCAAGTATAATTCAAAATATAACCAAATGAAATGTAATTTGGTGAGAAGCTGTGACCAGGATGGTTCAATAAGGTGAGGTATGAGTCAATGACCTACCGAAGACAGTTAGATGTGTTTGAGCAATAACATAGATTAATTGAAGTTAGACAGTGGTTAAGCATTTTCACACAAGATTGTATGTACCTAGGTTTGATTCTCGGCAGTGAGGCAGTGATTCTCCGCAGGCGAGTCTCATACTAGAACAGAACAGATGCCCAGTACTTCCAGATTTCCAGTGGTGATGTAACTTCGATTGATTCATGATTTCACTGAAATTCAACATTCTCCACAATTCTATACTAACTAATTACTCTCCCACTGTTTGCAGGACCATTGATTGAATATCTAATGACACAATGGCTTTCTTTTAAAAATCGTAACAAACTATGAATATAGAAAAATCAGAAAACTACTGTTGTATATTAGGCTTTCAACTCAGATTTGATGTGATACTGTTGTACTGAAGGAGAACACAGGTGAGGGCAACCCGAATTCTATTTAACGAAAATTACAGAGTTAATCAGTAAAATAGGAAAACCATATCGTAACCGTTAATTTGCAAATCTTCAATCCATCATCAATCCATTGTCTGACATTTCACTATTCATGCGTTTCATACAAATTCCATTGTGTTCCCACTCTTCCTTTCTTAATCTTCCCCCATCT